CTTTAGCTTCTAGAGAGGATGCCCTTGCAAATGTATCACTGACCAGATGAAACCTCATAAGACATATGAGGTCTACCGGATTTAGGGCTGGAAGAAAGCACAGAGAGCCTCGGCGAAGCATGTCACATCCGTCCATGCTACTCTAAAGAGAGAAACCTGTTGAAGCTTCTCCCCCTCAGGGTTTGTTTTTACTTTTCTACTTGATCCTGTACATTGAAGGTAAAATTAAATAAGAACATACTCTTTAACGTTACATTATTCAGAGATGTGAGCTGGCACTGAGCTGATGAAACCAGAATTCCTCATGTCCTCGTTTGAGTATCTGTTAATCCTGAATCTCCTTTTGTCTTTAGCCTTCCACATGCTCTCCAGGCACCTACAAGTTGTATGTGCAAATGTCCTGATGATTTGAAAAGTTAAATAAAAGCCCAGAAATCACAGACCCTGAGAAAAAGCAGTGGTCTTCTCAAAGCTTTAAGGTGACGCGTTACTGAGATTGTGAGACAAATTAAAATGTCCCACTGCTCCGGAGGTATCAAGGACCAAGGAAGGGGACAAAATTAGACTGTGTGTGAAAAACATGTTTCTATTTATATGTAGAGAGAGACAGTTATCGAGAGATTTAATAAGTCAGCCAAGGATCAAGGAGTCGCACACTGTGCTGGGCATGGGCAGTGTGCTCTGAACTGGCCACGGCCCTGGTCAAGGAATCCACCTAAATTCTAACCCTTTGTCTTTCATATATACTGATCCCTTATCTCTGTCTGTGGATGATTTACCTTCCTCTTATTTTAACGTAACTAAAAAATAATTTTGACATCCAGGCATGTCCAGAAACACACTCTGGACATGTTTCAAGCTTTGGGCACTGTAACATGTTCCTTCATTGTCTAGGAAAACTGGCCGGAGGCTGGCGTGCAGACATAACTCTGGAGCCTGAAGGAAAAGAGAAGGCCTTTTGCTGTCAGGCAGCTGGGACAGACCCTCGTTACCCCCACCCACAGCCCCTGGTAGGTCATCAAGCTGAAGGGGGATGTTAGCTTGGAAATTATCCAGAGGGCTGCCATCAAAAATAGCAGTTGAAGAATAATCCTGAAGGGACAAGTTGAAAGTCACTGGGCTTGTTTGCTTGGATAACAGCTTTTAAGTACGCAGAAGGGACACGCCTGGGTGAGGCCCGTCCTGGCTGCTGAGGAGGCCATTCTCATGCCACACGAGGCCTGAGGAACAGGAGACAATGGCTTTGGAGGCCGTTTTTACATTTCTAAAGAAATGTGGACCCATCAGACTTCAAAGTGTATGTTAAAGAAAATTAGAACTGGCCTTTTCCTACCATCTCCCCCAAACCAAGGATTATTTATGATAATCCAGTTTAGGATGATAAACAAGCCTCAGGGAAAGAGTAAAATTTCAGTTCAGGGCCTAGATCACTGGTAGCTCTGTGATTATTCCCTGATTCCACAGAGATCTGTTATTTGGAAAATGTGAAGTGTGTGCACTGGTGAATGAGGGTGTGGGTGTGAGCATGAGTTCTCGAGGACAGGCTACCTCCCCTCCTGAGGTGGCAAGACTGTGGATGGCACCATCCTCCATGGAAGGGGGACCGCTTTAGAGGCAGGTTTGTTCTCAGCCAGACCTAGAGGAATCATCTGAACATCATCTACTGTCTAAAAATGCTCACACTTCCTGAGCACATGGCTTTCTATGTTACTACAGAAAAAAAAAAAAAAGTGATGTGCTCCAAGTTCAATACCTGACTTTTATAGTTTTACTTCTAAAGCTAAGGAAACAGCTTTCTCATGGCAGACTCAGAATTCAGTCTAATTCCCAAAGATTTGCATTACGACAAATGCCAAAAAATATGTATTGCAATAAAATTCCAAGGGAGTGTGTTGCCCCAGGTCTAGTCCATTTATTCCTGGGTGAATTCAGAAAGAAAAGCATCTGTTTTCCATCTTTCTGAGTTTCAGAGGATATTATGTGGTGTGGAACAAACTCTAAATACTTTAGAACGCATACATTTTTCCTGAGTGTCCCATTTTCTCTTAGGTATTTTGAACTTCTAGTCAGATGAGGTTATATATTCATACCAATCTTGCGTCTGCTGTAGTTACCTGAAGTCAAAACAGACTGAAACACCAAACAGACGTTATGGTTGGCCGTCACTATTGGCCCTAGGGTCCTCTATGTGTCGGTCAGTAACTACTGTGTCTACATTCTCTGAAGGTGTGTAGTCATCATTGGCCTAGGCTACTGGGGGTGGGGTCAGGCACTTTGGGTCACCTCCACATCTCTGCTGAAGCAATGTCCAGCACTTCTGTTATTACTCTTGCAGCACTCCTTAGAAAGCTCCAACCAGCCTTGACGTGAAGTGGTAAGTGAAAACACTGGCTTGAAAAGAAGTAAGGATAGGAACAAATGAGCTGAAAGAAAACACAGTTCCTTCTGAACAAGCCGTGATGTCCCTTAAGGTGGCTGAAATGGCAGAGCCTTCCTAAAGCCAGAGTCCTCAGTTTATGAGCACCATCAGGGTTAGTGATTGCTTTTGTTTGTTTTAAATATATGACATGGTTTTCCCTGATTTCTAGCAAGAGTTCTATTATCGAATACCTCCTGTTAAGCATTCTGAGTTGTAATAATTACTAGATTTAAAAATTCTAATGGTGGAGAAACTTTTCAAAAAATAACTAGGGTGATCATTTATTTGGTAATGCTGGGTGTTCCCTACCCTAGCTGGCGTATGAATATTCACTCTTAGAGTCAATATGTTTAAATGTCTTTCCCCATTGCCTTGGGTTACTGAGCAAAGGAGAGGAAAGAGACATCTCAGTCAAGAGCCTGGTGAAAAGAGGATCTTCAATGGTATCTACTGACTTTGGTTCAGTGCTGTTATAGGAATGCTCAGCAAGGTTCTTCAGAGCCATGCTCATCCCTTAAGTTCTAGAGTAGAGGAATAGGTGAATATTACAACCAGTCAGAAGAGAGACTCAGAGACCAGCCTTTAATTCCCAGCCCTGACAGCTCATCTACCATATGGCTGTGTGCCAGAACTTCTGCTGGTCACCAAGGGAACTAATGGCCCATAAGCAATGGGGCTCTCTTAGATTGTTATATTTTGAAGAATAAAGAATGCTCCATCAGGTGAGAGATGAGCAAAGAGCTGATAAGGTAAAGGCACAAAGATTGTATCTCGTTTCTGTTCTGGAAGTTTACACCAGAAATCTGCTTTCATTGAGAGTTAAAGGGGTTTAGGGTAAAACAATGATGATTAGGAAAAAAACAAAATAAAAAAACAAAGAATACAACACCTCTCTGTGTAACTGAGAACAATGTTAATGCAAGGTACATGTCCTTGGAAAATAGATTATATTAATGCAATGTTCTGCCAATTAGCTACAATAATCTCCTTTCTGCATACAATATTTTAAACTGTAAATATTGGTAAATGTAATATTTTTGAAATAGCTTTAATAAATAGGATGGTACTTTATCTTAATAAGGTTGTGTTATTTATGTATTAATTCATTGCCTTATTGTTTCTATGTCTTTTATACCCAAAAAGTGTTTGAACTGGATACATTTATTTATGAAGGCATTTAACATTTTAAATTAAGACACAGAAATTCTAAGTAACACTTGAGATGCCCTTGAGAGAAGCCTCTCATCTCTTGTGTTTGTAGATATTTCATACATTCATAAATCACATCCTGTGCACATTTAAGCAAGACCAAAATACTAAAAAGCACCAGGTCTCCCATTAGAAAAAAATGCAATTATTCTGCTTGGTTATGTTTTTTAAATAGCTTGACATTTTAAATAATTGATGAATATGTAATTTGTTAATCAGTAATGGACAGTTCCCACAGAGGTATCATGCCTAGTTTTATAATTTACTATTTCAAAGAGTTTTATGAATGCAGTGATTAAATCTGGAAGCAGAGAGAAACCACTCCAGGATGACATTATTCTATTTAAAATCCATAATACTTAACAGTAACAACAAGAAAGCTTTACAAATTAAGTCAATGTATTGAATTCCTATTGGGTGAGTTATAGATAAACATTTATGTGTAGTGATTTTTCCCCATACTAAATTCCCCATTTATAACCATGTACCCAAATGAACATCAGAGCAACATATTGTTACTGTAAAGGATTAAATGATATTTTAGCTTATGCCTTTATTTCTTATCTTTTTTCCTCCAGTGATAATAGAGATTTCATTTACCATGCATGAACACTTACATCCCCTTTCTGAGGACATTTCTGATATTATTGGTATGAGAGAGAAAAGTCATTTATTTAAAGATCGCCTTATTAATCTACAGCTTTTGGTAAATATCTAGATTATCAGGTCATTCGATTTGTCTTTATGGCCTAAGAAAGAGGACTAGCTGCCATGTTCAATCCAAATGACTTGGTATATCAAGATTTATAAGGACATCGACATTCACAGTGTCACACAATCATGCTCCAAGCTAAATAAAAATAAAATCAAACAGTCACAAATATTACAGTATAATAGGATAAAAGCTAAAATATACGTACAAATTCATCGACAACATCTGTGCAAGTGTTGTGGACAAAACATTGAAAAGGAAATCTACATAAAACAAAGTTGATAAATTTATCAAACTTGATAAATTTTCAGAGACAGTATAAAAATACACAAAACATGGGAGAAAGAATTTTAAAAAAATAACCACTAAGTCAATACATATAATACAAGTTTACTACATTTATATTACAGAATGATGGAAACCACAACAAAAAACGATTTGGTAACAGACAGCAAAGAAAGGGTCACCAATCACAGGGAAGAAAGACTCCTTTTTGGATGAAAACACAGACTGCCACAACTCATCCCCTCAACCCATACACACAGAGAAGAAAAGCAAATGCGAAAGTTGTCTACAGCAACACATGACAGACAGAGGTGGGAAGCAATTGGCATGTCACATTACAGGCAGTCAATCACGACTGGCTAACGATGGTGGTACCTGACTCTGCTGCAGGTCACTGGCTTGCCTGAGAGGAGTAATTGACGGCGGGGGCACGCCAGATGTGGACGCAGACCGGCCCACCTTGCAGCTTACTTTCGGTTCTGTGAACACGAGCAGAGAAAAAGTATTAGTCTAGTAATGTCTGCAGCGATGGAACGGCTCTCAGAGCCTCTGCTTGTCTGCTGCCTGCTCTTTCAAATCACCAAATATTTCTGATGTTTGCTAATAATTGGCGGGTGATGAAACAATTTCATAACAATGGACTCTAAAACAAGCTTTATTTGCAGATCAACTCCTGGGAATAAAGAACAAATTGTGGAAACAGAGGTCTTGTTCTCCTGTACACCTGACCCCCTTTGGGGTTAGTTTCTATATTACTAGAGGAACAATATCCCATGGGGAAAAGCGAGTGACATGACCATTTGGGGAATGTTTTGCTTCCGCTTTGGTTCATAGGTCTCCCAAGTCCTAAAATGTCTTTTCCACACTCTTCATTTTCTTTCTTTTATTTTCTCTCTTTTTTTTCTTTTCTTTCCCCTTCCTTTTTCCTTCCTCCCTTCCTCCCTTCTTTCTTTCATCATCATTGTGCTGAGCTGGCTGCTTTCATGTTTTCATTGTAACATTTCTTTAAATTTATCTTCATTCCCTATAAATTATATAACCATTTCTAAGACTTTCATTTTTTTTCAAAATTAAAAACCACTCCCCACCTCTTCCTCTATTTAAGGATCCCCAAAGAGCTGCATAGGTCATTGGCAGGATACTATGGAGATCAGAATTTGGGGATGGAAATTTTCTTCAACCAAGATGCATAGAATTTTTGGTGTACCGATTTTCAGATATATTTGAAGATATTTGATAAAGGAGAGGAGAGGTCATAAAAAGAAAAATTGGCATCTGTGCTTTTATCCCAAACTATTATATTAGCTGTTTGTTTCTGAGTGCTTGGTTAGTCTGGCTATATTTAAATTACTTAGATCATCTGTAATCCTCAGGACACTCTTCAGAGTTACACAGGGCTCCCAATGTACAGATTAGAAGACTGAGGCTCAGCAAGGTGAATAATTGCATTGCAAATACACAAATGCATTTCAGAAAGCCTTTCTTTATACATTTGACTTAACAATTACACTCACTGAACAATTAGCCTCACATGGCGTTACATCACTAAGTTACTGATGTGACACACTGATGCCAGAGAGCAGGAATGTGCCCAGTTCTGTTGGCAGAAAAAAATGGGCTGTGCCACTACATAGAAACACTATCTTCCTGCCATTTCTATATGAACACACTTCAGAAAAGAGCTTTGCTATGTCCATGTCACGTGATTTCTTAACTGCCAACTTCAGCCTCTGCCAGCTGTCTTCCAAGAGGTCCTCCCCACTCCTCACAGCCACCAGATACAGATACAGAATAAGACAAGCTGATGCCCGTTCACACACACACATCCCTTTCCTCTCCTACCTCTGCTTCCACCTACTAAACAACTGTCTCACCTCCATATTGTAATTATTAAGGAGCACTAAGAGCCTCTTTCTTGGTAAAGCAGATAGTCTTTTACCTGTGCTTCTGGTTTAAGTGGTGAAAAAAAAATTTGATAAATGGGCTTTAGACTTAGATATGACTTTCACTCTTTTCAACTAGCTGTATAAACTTAGTTTTTTTTTTCTTGAAGTGTTCTTACCATCCTTCCCTAGGAAAATAATATTGAATGTTCCTCACATTCAACTGAATTGAACTCAAAAGAATTATCTGAAGAAGTCCCCCAAATCCAAGAAAATCCTATCATAGGCCTCTCTAGGGCTGTGGCATCATAATTTGTCCTGCTCACTTACCTTTGGGAATAATACTGCATTGAGCCTTAAACAGTGAGGCTTAGGAGCCTGAAACTAAAAATAGTAAGTTGCCATCCTCAATTTTGCTAATCTGAAAATTGCTAAGGCTTTGGGGGATCAAAAACAATGGACATATCCCTCAAAAGAGATCTAGGATACAGCTTTCCTCCCCCAAGAGAACATCATTCCATTAAGAGATTAATTATAAACTAGAAGGCATCTGTCCTTCCTACACCCAAGGAAAATCCCCTTCCTTTGTAAACTCTTGTCTGTAACAATCCCATGTTGTTTGTGAAATTTCAGGGAAGATCAAGTGTAAAGAGAACAAGGAAGGGTTAGTAGATTAAGAAAGAAAGAGAGGGAGATGGGAAAAGAAAGAATGAAAGAGGAAGAAAGAAGGCAGGGAGGGAGGAAGGAACTAATTTTAACTTATTTGAATAAACCAATATCAAGATATTATCATGAGATGTTTCTAGGATAACTCATCATTATAGTAAAGTTTCTACCAAGTAAGTACACATTGGAATGTGTTACTTAATAGTTCTTTCTTTTTATTCTTAGTGCATACAACCTATGATCACTTTGTTTTCTTTTGTTTTTTTTAAAGGTAGTCATTTCTCAATCATTTCTCATCTTTGCTTTAAGATGAACTGAATTTCTGTTCAGGATTATGTCCCTTGATATTGTTACCAGATAATCTCGAAGTGTCCAGCACTGTCATCAGGAGCATCGGAGTTCTCTCTGCTTTCAGAAAGCAAAGACAAATGGCTGTTCTCAGCCTCTGTATCTACCCAGCAACACGAGATTTGCGCCTTTTCACCAAAGAAATAACTTTCATCTAGCATCAAAGAAATAAAATCACACAAATTCTGAGGAGATATAATCTTTTCTCCATTTTTTTTTAAATACACAGTATTTTTCTTTACTAGCAGAGACATATCATGATTTTCCCAAGTCAGTCATACTGTTGAAAGTTTCCACTCAATGACTCTAGGCTGCAGAGAAGCCACAGAGAGAACTTTTCAGATATACCAAAGTATGCTTCTTGCAAACTCTACTTTCATTTCTGGAGCAGACCTTTTCTTTGAAATTGGTGTTTAAACAGTAAGAGGCAATTTTGTGAGGACTATGTTAAAATGTCATGGATTCCAAATACTTTCTTTTAAAGCTTCTATCATACATGACAACAAACATATACAATACCCTCCTGTCTCATAATAAATGCAACTTGTTCTGTATATAATTTGAATGAAATGTTATAATTTTGCTTTAAAATTGTCGGACTGTGAATAACCTAATTAATTCATGGTTGACTATGATTTCTAAACAGCAATCAAGCATACTCAGAAATTTTTGCTCTATTAGTCTAATCTAGAAATTGTTTTGAAGTGTAGTGAAATTGTTTTAATAACTAAATTTAATAATTAATTAGGTTGACCTAATGTAAAACTTGGTATTGATTTAATTATTCATTAATGTTGATTTGGTGGTCTCTTTTGGAATTTTGACGCTATTTTTTTAATATCAAATATTTTTATAGACCCCTAAGATACTCATAGGCCTAGGGGTTGTGATTTTGAATGCTGAAAAAATAAAACAAATCTGATCATTGCTGTGATCATTTTGCTGATGTGACCACAGAAAAAGAAAATCAGCAGGATGCAAAACTACCCTGAGAGTAGAAATTCTTTCTCTCCAGCTTTCCATGGAGCTTTCTTCTCAGGAGGCACCTAAGACTTACATAGCTTTCCATGAGTCCCACTGTCCTATAATCATGGAGCAAGATCCTAGTGTTTCTGGAAGGGTCAGATAGTAAAACTACTGATGCTTAAGTAATTGTTAATTCATTTCAGGAATACTAGAATTCTGGTGAAGACCTGAAAACCAGAGAGAAGCGAGGCAGCCATGTGATGGGTAGAATTTATGATCCAGTGATGGACATAGAGAACTACAGGACCCACTGTTTAGAAGACAGAGAGAATCACATGCATATGGAGTTAGGAGTGCCCTCTGTATGCTTTCTCTATCTGACTAACTGGGATTTCCCTTGTCTTCCACTTTCTTATGCGGACAGAATATAAATAATGCTGTTCATCACATAGGGATGCCTGAGATGCTGCAAGATATGGTTGGTTCCTTACAACAACACAACATAGCACAGCAGAGCATTAACAGTTTTTATTTTATTTTATTTGACAGCCTCTTTTATTCTAATGTACAATTTCAGAAACACCCTTAGGATCTTCATCACTTCAGCTGAATATGAAAATGTACTTTTGTTTTAAAAAAAATACTTTATTTTACATGAAAAGAAAATTAAGGTATGTGTGTATAAAGCAACACATTTTACCTATTTAATAGGAAATATGTGCTTCTTAATTATCTTTAAAATCATTGCATAAAGAAAATCCATCTGTCAAGATATAAATTTGAAAAGAGATACTATGATTTGTATCAGGATCAAATGTATATTACCACGGGGTGAGAAATTTCACTTTGTGTCATGGTATCAAAAATAGAATGAATAAACAAACAAACAGAACAGAATAAAATCCCTTTATCATTGGATATTAGAAATAAATATATGACAAAAACCATTTCACCTATTTTTGAAACCTGTTACGCTTTGTTTCTAACTAACAAAATGAAGGAGAATCCTCGCTTAAATTTTCTGTATCGCCTACCTTATTAACGTGAAAATTCTATTCCTAATAAGTGAAAATTAAAACTGGACATGACACTAGTGATATATCCTCTTTATACCATGGTTTTTGTGGTTTGTCAAAGAACAAACTATTCTGAGACAAAATATGACCAGATATTCTAATTTTTGTGGTCCTGATACCATATTCTGTTTCAATAGTCATGGTATTTGTGCTTCTGCCTTGAACCACTCATTGCCCATTATAGGCATAAATTAAGCAATATATGTATGTGTCTAGGAACAAGACTAATCAAAGACCATACATGGTCAAAACCACTGCGGCTGGAGATTTCAGTCTGATCTCCAGTAACAGTCATGTCTTTTCACCCTACAGCAGAACTTCTGGAGATCTCTAAGACCCATTGGGGAAGTGAGAACATGAAGTCAAAACTATTTTCATAAAAATACTAAGGTGTTATTTGCCTTTCATCAGTGTATTGACAAATGCACTGAAAGTCCAAAAACGATGATGGATAAATGTGCTGCTGTTACCTTAGCACATCAAAGCTACAGCATCAAGCTGTACTAATAATCATGTATTTTTCACTGCTACATAGACTTG